AGGAATTTTGAAATATCGATACAATGCCAGTAATAGCTTTGAAGAAAAACATTAAGTCTAAATATTCATGCCAATATGAGAGGGGAAGAAGTTCTTTTGAAATGAGTCTGAACGCGTTGAACACGTTCCACTTGGTTGATGAGCTCCACCGACTGCGGCGACCACACTTGAGTGGCATAGCCCAGCGCTGGTCTTACAACTGCCAAATACAATGCACGGCGAATCCTTTTATCCGTGATTTCCGTTGCAGATCTACGTACGAACCCGAGCATCCTATTGGCTGCGGCACATCGATCTAGGGTGTGTTTGGACCATGTCAGATTACTAGTAACCCAAACGCCAAGATCTTTCTCCTCTGTTGTTAGTGCGAGGGTTTTGTTTTTGATGGTGTAGGGGAATTCGGTGGTAGTTTTTTTCCTGGTAATTCTCTGACATTTGCATTTATTTTGATTAAATACAAGTCCAGAAGAAGTCGACCACTCCTCAAGATTATCAAGATCACTTTGAATCGAGGCACCGTCTATGTGAGAATCGACACACTTGAATAATTTTGTGTCGTCAGCAAAAGAAGCTACTTTTGCATTATTCACCACATCAGGTAGGTCGTTAACATAAAGGAGAAAGAGTATTGGACCCAGGATAGAACCTTGAGGGACACCAGACATAACAGGTTTTTCAGATGATGTAGCCCCTAGAACAGTCACGCGTTGCCTTCTGTTCAACAAGTAGGAGGAGAACCAACCGAGTAAACTACCAGAGATGCCAAAGCAGTTGTAAAGTTTATGAATAAGAATTTGGTGGTTAACTTTATCAAAGGCTTTGGACATATCCATGTAGATCACGTCAGTTTGTTTCCCAGCGTCCAGTAAAGATCCTATATAGTCGTGCACTTCCACCAGCTGGGAAGTACAAGATTTTCCTGGAATGAAACCATGTTGGGAGTTGTTGATCAAGACTACCAAGTGATCTCGGATGTTACGAAGAACACAGCGCTCGAGAGCTTTCGAAATTATAGAGAGGAGAGAAATGGGGCGGTAGTTTTCAACTTGATCCTTTTCTGCTTTCTTGTATACAGGTACAATGTTTGCTAGCTTCCAATCATCAGGTACAACTCCACAACTAACAGATTTATTAAATACCTTAGTTAGTGAAGGTGCAATCTGGTTGGCAGTTTCTTTCAAAAGTTTAGGCGAGATGTTATCAGGTCCAGTCGCTTTGCTGGTATCAAGCGCTAGAAGTGTTTCCTGAACTTCTTCTGTAGTAAATTGGACGTCTGATAATAGTGAATCTGTAGCTGGTTGTTGGGAAGGAGGCAAAGATAAATCAGAATCACTGTTCGTGAAAACAGATGAGAAATAGTTGTTGAATATCTCCGCGATGGTAATGGGGGTTGAAGCAGTTCGAAATTGTGACGAAGCAGACACATCAGCGTTACCCATTGACATGGACTCAGGAATGCTGGATTCTTTGTTTGTTAGCTTAAATATCGACCAAAATCTTTTTGGGTTTAGTTGGAAGTTAACATCAAGGGAGGAAAAGAAGTTTTTACGGCTAGACTTAACCATTTTTTTAACGTTAGCTCGTAATTCTCTGAACTTGGTCTTTAAGGAAACAGTCGGAGATGTTTTAAGCTTTCGTCGCACAGCTTCCTTTTGTCGTAAGGCGTGGATGACTTTGCCATTTAACCAAGGAGGGGAGTTTCTTCCCTTGATCTTTCGAGAAGGGATAAAATCGTTAACTGTTGTGAGAAAAGTGTCTTTCCACAGCAGCCAATCTTCATTTATGTCAGAATCTTGTTGTATTATAGTGGAGAGATCAATCGCTTGTAAAGCAGAACGAAGGCCATCGAAGTCACCCCTCCGGAAATCCAAAACTGATCGGTTTAGCCTAGGACCTGCTCTAATAGATGTCTTTAGATCAAAAATAATAACCGAGTGATCAGTAAACAAGCCGCTATTTTCTGGATTGAGCAAAGTGATGTTATTTATCTGGTTCGGTACAGTGGAGATAACTAAATCAAGTATATTGACACCTCTTGTAGCTAGAGTGTTAAGTTGGGTTAAGTAGAAATCGTTCAGTTGCTCTGTGAATGAGATTTCGTCAGCACCAAACGTTTTAGCAGGAGATAGCCAGTTTACTTTAGGGAAGTTGAAATCACCACAAATTATAATGTTATCATGACGAGACGACAGATCAGCCAAAATCGAGTTAAATTTATCCAACCAGATCTTTTCAGCATTAGGTGGTCTATAGCAACAGCAGATTAACAGTTTTAGTTTTGAGTGGGTGATTATTTCTACAGAGGTCACTTCGAGGTCAGATGGATTAACTAGTTCTCGAGATGAATTAAATGAACCTGATTTAATTGCTAGTAGAACACCGCTACCGTTGCTCGTTTTACGGTCTTTCCTATAGATTGAATAACCAGTTGGCAGAATTTCAGCGTTATGAATGTCTTTAGTAAGCCACGTTTCTGTGACCCACACCAGATCGGCTGACTCGGAATGGGCAAGCTCTTGGAAACGAGATAGATTACATACTTGTTTGTCATCTGTTACGTGCAAACTTTTTAGACTACGGGCATTAATAACAAGGCATGTTGCAGGATAACCTTTCAAACTTTGCATCTGTGGTTGTTGATGTTGACTATTAGGACCCGGGTTTAAGGAGATATCCCCAGAAAGGAGAATACAAATTAACGCATGCGAAGTTCTACGGTTGACTTGAAAGGTTAGGCCATAGGCATAGCGGTGGTTCGGTGGACAACTAATGTTCCTTAATTTACTATCACGGGTAAAACACCAAAGACAGCAAATTCTGTCAGGTATAGTGGCAAGTTCGGAGCTAACAGTCACGTTGGAGGGTAGGCTCTTATCGTTGTAGAGAGGTCGTGACGTTTTCTGTCGAGTAAACAGCAGTAGGAAAAGGATGAGAACTAGGACAAGTCTGATGGTTATCATAATCGTAGATAGATTTAAAGACGAACAATAATGCAAGGTGGGAAATTAAGGTTGACGGTTGAAATTCACAACAGCGACAAAAGTTTATCCAATAATCTTGATAATAAGCACTTTATACACCAAATTTCGGAATGATAATTTTATGTATAGCTAATAGGGGAGTCCCCTAATTGTGGTGAAACCAGAGACGTTATTCAAGATATAAAACCAAAGTCAAAGGTCAGGAATTCGTTCATACGCGACAGAATATAAATGAAACATTAACGCACAAAAAACACACGACAAACTGCACCACGGAACAATAAGTAACTCAAAATGTTACGAATAACAGACAAAAAACGATTCCAGCGTAGAAACTTGACTTTAAACGACGAAAACTCCTTTACAGGTACATAAAGATGTTGCCATGACAAACGACGCTTGACGCTATTTATTCAGATAATCCCAACGGTCAAATTTTATAACTCAAATTATTTAAATTGAGTTCAACGTTAAAACACTAAAACTTGAGACGATAACAGGAACAAAACACGTAGTCCACAGTGAAAATTTGAAGCAAATCCAATAAGCAGAAAACGAGAAAAAGACGAAACCAAATTTCACGATTCGTAAGGATATGCACTGCAATACGATAAACAACTTCGGTAATGGAAATCCAGAATATATGCGACGATTTACAAACAAACAGCACAAAAGATAAATCCACTGAATCACAATAACTTTATGTTTAATTTGAAACTGAATTAGTATCACTCCAACAAGAAATGAGATAGAATAAGATAAAAATTTGTAGACACCGAAAATATTATGGCTCATCTCAACTCGCTAATTATCGCTTAATTATCACCACTTCGGCTTATACATCGTATGGCACCCTACATTGTCCCCATTTTCTCCGCAGGCAGGCAGGCGGAGTGAACGCCTGAGTAGGCGTCTTGTTTATCATGAAATCGCTTCACTAGAAAATTTTTAATAATGTCTATGGGGGGAACTTTGTAATTTTCTGAACTAAAAGTTTATGGTTTTGAGGTGTTTATTTTATAAAATAGCACACACGACAAAATGGCACTAATGTGGTTTCTCAGGTCTGACAAACAACCGAAAATGAAAGTTCTTATTTCACCCTTTTATAGCTATGTGGAATACCTGAATATTAGGTTATCTTTTCCATGTGAGCATATAGATAACATTTCTACACAATAGTCCTTATGAAGGCTTATTTCAAACAAAAAAAAGCGACTGTTTTTCAGAGCCAGACTTCAAAAGAGAATGCGTGTCTGACATTTTTATAGCAGCCTACATTGGCGCGCAAAATAATTTTGGCTAAAAACCGTTGCTTTTCCAACAAAAACGTGAGAAAATTGAGCTAAAAGTCTTACCTGATGTATGTTTAAAATGTTTTTCTTTTTATGGTGTTTTTCAATGCTTTGAGTAGAGAAGTTAACAGCTTTTGGTTTTGTCACCACAATTTGCCTTTGAAAATGTCGGCTGTCATGGTCTGTGTTAAAAACACCTCAGAAAATTTCTATTTTCTCACCTTCCCATCCTTGGTTTATGTTGAAAATAAATAGATTCTAGTACCATATGTCCTTTTAAATATATTTGAAGTAATTAAAAACTTGAAAGATGTACAAGCACTGTGTTTTGGCTTGCACACTTTGTTGAATTTTAACACTTAGTTGCTGTTCTAAATTTCATGTTGTAAACATCTTGCCCAAAAAAAGCAAAGGAGTATATTTTATAATTTTTGATCATTTTCTAATTCATATCCCAATAGATGAAAATTGGTTATAATATAGATATGTACTAATTTAGTAAATGAATTTTTTTTTGGTTTTTATATAACTTTATGGAGATATTGCCCGTTTAGGTAACGAGTGACATGAAAAACAAAGTGTCACTGCTTTACAAATAAAAATTCTCATTGAAAAAAACTAATTATATATATATAGGTATGCAAGTTCATTTAAACTAAATTTGGTCAATCATATATCAATAATATTTGGTTGAAAAGACCAGATTTTTTCATGCAACTGTTCTGAGATATTGCCATTTTGGTGAAAGCTCTTGAATTCAATCACATATTCGCCATATTGCTTGGGCGTTGGGAGGTAGAAACATTGTAACAGCTTGCACGTTAATGAGTTAACAGTTTCTGACAATGGACCACTTTGGCGGTTTTGTGTTAAGTGGAAACACGTGCTCGAGAAATCGGAAATTCGGACAAACATGGCAGAGTGTAATACAAACGCTATTCAAAATACACAAATGTTTCGGCCATTTAATAGATAAATTTGCTCGCTCTCATCACGAAACAATAGTCAAAATCGAAAATATGTCACGAGAAGAGAATTTAAAAGCCATGAAGCTGCCGGAGCTCAAAGCATACTAACAAAATCGAGGAATTACTGTTAACAGTTTACCTCAAACCCGGACTCGTAGCTATTGCTCGTGCCATCGAAGAAATGAGTTTTTCATTGCTTTTTCAAGTCAGTGAAGCCCAAGACCAGTTAAATCTAAGTCGTCATTTGAGAGTTCACGATATTCAGCTACCTGATCCTTTTAAAATGAATGTTTTAAATGATTTTACACATTCTCAATTACTTGCCCCTTTGGTTTGTTTGATATAAATCATCTCATATATCACTCGTCAGAATATGACAAGCAACGTCTAGCAGCTTATAAATATCTTTTACATATCGTCGCATTTCAGAGGTCGCATTTTAATGTGCGTTTTATATGCTAGCTAGACGGAGATTAGGATTATTACTTATATTTTCCGTACTATTTTATTTATTTCCGTACTATTTTATTTATTTCCGTACTATATATTTATGTTTATTCAGTAGGACCATTTTGTCGGCCAACAAAATGAAGGCTACATATATAACTATCCTTCGTACATACAAATTTATCGCCTCTGTGGCATGCACGTATCAAGTGCTCTCGTTTTGCACTATGGTATCTAGCCCCAGGAAAATATTAAAAAACTAGGATATCAAACATGGCTGAGCGTATATATAGAACAATATAGAATGGTTACGACTAAAAAGTACGCTTGTGGTACTTGTAAAAGCGATTCACGGTATCCTGATCGGTTACGAAACAGTAATGGGCTAGATGCCATAGCGCAAAACGAGAGCGCTGGATAGGTGCATGCCACAGATGCAATAAATTTGTATGAATTATTTGAATTTATATAAGTAGCCTTCATTTTGTTGGCCAACAAAATGGTCCTACTGAAGGACATCCAGACCCTGTATCAGCAATAACTAGTACGGAAAATATAAGTAATAATCCTAATCTCCGTCTAGCATATAAAACGCACATTAAAATGCGTACGATATGTAAAAGATATTTATAAGCTGCTAGACTTTGCTTGTCATATTCTGACGAGTGATATATGAGATGATTAAATATATCAAACAAACCAAAGGCCAAAGGGGCTTAAAATAGTTTAAAACATTCATTTTAAAAGGATCAGGCAGCTGAATATCATGAACTTTCAAACGACAGCTTAGATTTAACTGGTCTTGGGCTTCACTGACTTGAAAAAGCAATGAAAACCTCATTTCTTCGACGGCACAAGCAATAGCTCCAAGCCGGGTTTGAGGTAAACTGTTAACAGTAATTCCTCGATTTTGTTAGTGTGCTTTGAGCTCCGGCAGCTTCATGGCTTTGAATTTCTCTTCTCGTGACATATTTTCCATTTGTGAATGTGAATGTCAGTAAAAATCGAACATATGAGATATTTCGCGGCCACGACTGAAAAATCGATTTTGCTCAAATTTTGCCCAGATATACCTTATTATATCGGAAAATGCACCATATATTTTTTTAGGTCAAATGCTTTTTTAACTTTGAGAAAATGACGTTTTAACATGACCACCCTAAATCGCCATTTTGTCTGGGAAAATATGCGCTGATTTTACCGACAAATTTCACGACGACAACCGTTTCTAATCGATCTAAAACCCTAAAAATCTTGTTTTCGGTTATTCAAAGGACCGGGTACCTGACTTACAAGAAATCAGAGTTACTTTTAGGAATAGAAATAATCGTAGTTTTGGAGCACACTATCTTACTTCATTTACGATACCCTCTTAACAAAACCGATTTTCACTATGGGATAAAGCTCCAAATCGATCATGCTTCTACTAGTTGGCTCTTTGATAAACAAGCTTTCAATTGACATAAATACTTCTTTGGGCAAATGAATACGCGATAAACGACAGTGCACTGAAATCGTCCGTTTTTGATGTCTTGCAAGTCAAACGCTGTTAATTTACATACCGTCGAAGTAAACAATTTAATCAAGTATTCTAAGTATTTTACCTTTTGAGAAGAAGATATATTCTTGAATGGAGACTTTTTACCTTGCTAAGTTTAAAATTGATCCAAAAATTCTGATATATTTGTAAAATATCATCATATACAGGTATTTTGAGATATAGGCCTAATATTGTTGTCAGTTGCATGATAACTTCAGATCACTGTTCAATATTGTCTACTTTTAATAGCGCTAACATACAAATCGATGAGCTGTTTAGGGATTATATTTGCTACTAAATTTCCCAAAATTAGAACTTCAATTGTTGTTTTGTTCCAGTTTTGATCCATATAATGTACCACTTTACATATCGACTATCAAGTATAAATGTTTACAAATACATAAGTTAATTACACTGGCCTGTAGGCCAAGTGTCTTAAATCCCTCTTTTTCTGTTTTTTCCTGTTTTTTTCGTAGTCGAGAAATAGAGTTTGCGTTAGCTCATCGCAGACTCAGGGTGCAATGACTAAGCCAAAATGCCATCGATTCCCTCGGTTCCATGATTTAGATAGTATAGCAATAAGTCCGTATTTATGTACGTAATAGCCGACTCATGCCATGCTTGTGGTGCAGTTTTTGTTTATTAGCCCATACACTTGTACGCACGCGCACAATTCCGAACTCCAATGGCGGCTTTTCACAGAGTGATCAAACTATATTTTACACAGTTTCGCTGAATTTTCAAAGAATTGTGCCGGTTTCCTATGGATTTTACATTGTGTCGTACTCTGGACTTTCTTGCGTGTTGAATTGTGTTTTTCTTTCAGCGAATTTATACAATATATAGAAGGATATTTAAACAAGGACAAGTTAAAGGTTTGACAGTTTGACTTTTTAATAAACAACTATAAATATACGTCGTGGACTCATAACATCCGTTGTGTACTTGTATTAATTTTTGTGTCGCACTCTGGACTTTCTTGCCTGTTGAATTAATGTTTTTCTTTTTGTATTAAATTAAACGACTCGAAAACCCCAAAATTTCATAAATTTGTACCCAGCGAATTTATACAATATATTGGACTATAAACAAGGACAAACTCTCCGAATTCCTTACGATAGTTTTAGTCAAATGTCGACAATATACCTTTAAATACATGTATTAAAATCCGCGCAGTACTAGAATTAAGAGAATTAGCATAGCGCTGGCTGCTTAGCCTGTGTACAGCCGTAAATTCTCATAGGCTATGGCCGCTGAGTTATATATTATAAAGTCAATTATTATAAAGTCGATTATAAAGTCGATTATAAAGTCAATTATTCAGAGACCCTAAATGGGCGAGGCGCAAACGGGACTCGAAGAACCATGCAAGGCACCTGCCCAAACTTAGTAAAGATTTACTGTTCTAATTGAAAATCTATACTGTTCTAGTAAACCTCGGAGGTGCATACGCCTCATAAAAATCGAGGGTTAGTAAAACCCCCAGTTGCTTCCCACAATGCATTGTATTCCTATTTAATGAACGAACTGCGGGAAACAACTGGTACAAATCGTAAAATGCACCCACTCAAGGTTTACAAACTATATTATGCTGTGTTATGTTTATATCATATATCATATAATGGTATTCTTAAGTTAAACGTTTATTATTACATAATGTTAATAAACAGTTAGGACCTGTGGCAACGGCAGTCCCAAGTCAAAGACCACGTGCAAGACACGTCTGCGTCATAAATAGAGTTAACTAAGTTTGAATATTTGTGCTTGAGATAACATTTAAAAGAACTAGGTCTAGAGAAACTGTCAAGAGATACTTCTTGAGATACAGTGTTCCAGATATTGACAATACGGTTGTAGTAGGAGGATTGAAAAGTGGTAGTTTTACACAGTGGGTTTTGAAGGATATACTCAGAGGAAAGACTCAATCGAGTACGACCACGGCTGACAAACGACACATAGTTACTCAAGTTCACGTTTATAAAACCAAATAAAGCTTTATAAAAGAATATTAAGTCCTTCATTTCTCTATCGTAACTTAATGGTAGCAGGTTTAACGACGACAGCCGTTCTTTGTAAGGCATCTCTCTGTTCATTAGTATCCACTTGGTTGCCCTCCGTTGGACTTTCTCTACTTGTCTTGATAGCTGAACGTTGTTAACCAGTGACCACACCTCCGAAGCATACAACAACTGGGACTTCACAAGTGACAGATACAAAGTTCGCCGGGTGTTCATGTCTGTAATACTAGTGCAGGTTCTTTTTAGTATACCTAACATTTTGTTGGCCTTCGCAACCATGGTGTTTATGTGTAGTTTCCATGAGAGTTTTGTAGTAGTCGTAATACCAAGGTCCTTTTCATGGTCAACCCGAGTTAGCTTTTCGGTCCCAAGGGTGTATTCGTAGATGATAGGCGTTTTCTTTCGTGTGACGGTGAGGACTTTACACTTAGAGGCATTGAAGAAGAGATTGTTTTCCATACTCCACAGATCTAACTTGACCAATGAATGTTGTAAGCTTTCACAGTCGCGAGTCGAGATAATATGTCTGTGAATTTTCGTATCGTCCGCGAACAGGGCAATTTCAGTTCCGTTATGTATGATGTCTGGGAGATCGTTAATGAATATAATGAACAAAGCTGGTCCAAGAATGCTTCGCTGAGGCACACCTGAAGTGACTAATGACCATGCAGAAGCTACTCCATCTACAACAACTCTCTGAGTCCTACCGTTTAAATAGTCAGCGAACCAATCAAGAACAGATCCTGTCACGCCATACCAACGCAGCTTATCCAGTAAGATATTATGGTCAACGGAGTCAAACGCTTTGACGAAGTCCAGGTACAAGTCCAGTATTCTTATCCAGTATTCTTATCAAGATATTGAAGTCAATATCAGAAGTCCAGTATTCTTATCAAGATCTTGCCCGATAGAGTGGAAAGCTGACAGGAGTTGGGTGACACACGAGCGATTTCTCAGAAAACTGTGTTGAGATGGACTGATAAGGTTCACAACATGGTCATAAAATCTCCAGTAAATGCACCGTTGTAGGGTCTTACTAATGATGGGCAATAGCGAGATTGGTCTGTAGTTCACAGCTGGTTCTTTGGAATTCTTCTTGTGCACTGGAGTAACATCTGCTGATTTCCACTCAAAAGGAATATGTCCAGATCTTAGTGAATGGTTGTAAAGAGTGCAAAGGCTTGGAGCGATTTGATGACTACATTCTTTCAGAAGGCGGGCAGGAATTCCATCAGGGCCACTAGCTTTTGAGACATTCAGATTCAACAGACTGTTTACAACTTCTTCGACATCGAGTGTGATCTCACTTAGTTGTGAATCGGTTGGTAGTCGAGAATTGCGGGAGTTAGTAGCTTGATTAGTCGTTGAAGGTTGGAAAACTGACGAGAAGTAGGAGTTAAAAAGTTCGGCTTTCTCAGTAGGTGTTTTTGCCACAATGCCGCTATGTGAAATGACAGCGTTTTGAGTTGACCGGTGATGAAAAACAGCTTTATGATAGCTCCAGAACAGTTTCGGGTTGCTGCGGAAAGACTCCTTAATCTTAAGTAAGTAGTCACAATGTTTCGTTCGAACTAGATATTTGATAGTTTGACTTATTTCACGCAGCTTTTGCTTACGATAGTCAGTTCGAGTTTTCCTATATTTCTTCAGGGCAGCATATTTCTTTCAAATATGGTATCTTACTTCTCCGTCAATCCAGGGAGGCGAGTTTTTGTCCTTAAAGTTTTTAACAGGGATATATTTCTGAACAGCATTTAGAAACCATTCTTTCCATTGTGACCAGCACTCGTTAATATCATCAGATGAAATAGTTTCACAGGGCTTGCATGTTAAGTAACTGCGGAGCTCATCAAAATTTCCCCGCCTATAATCGAAGACAGTGCGTGTTACTGGGTTAGCACGACGAAACGAATGTTGGACCTCGAATTCGATGATGTTATGATCGGTTGGAAAAGTTAATTGTTCGGGTGGAAGTGATGATACGTTTTTGATAATCTCAGGACAGTTACAGAGCAGCAGATCAAGCTTGTTACCATCAATGTGTGTGGAACCAGAGATAAATTGTTGTAGGAAACTAACAGCTACCAAATTACAAAATGACTCTTCAAGTTGACCTCCATTAGTTGCAGGCGTTGGTTGATCGAGAGACCAGTCAATTGCTGGAAGATTAAAGTCTCCTATCAAGATAATGCAGCTAGATTGAGGATTACTTTGAAGCGATGCATTTAGATATTGTATTACATCAGGGCAGGAATTAGGAGGACGATAAAAGGTATAAAGGAGAGCTGTTTTGTTGCTTTCCGTGGCAAATTCTACGACAACAAGTTCCACATTTTCTCTTTCAAGATCCATTCGACGAGTAGCATGTATATTACTTTTTACCGCAACAAGCACACCGCCACCAATCTTTCCCACTCTGTCACGACGGAAAATAGAGTATCCAGGTAACAATTCACTACTGAGAACAGTTTCATTAAGCCATGTTTCACAGATACAGATAAAGTCATATGTTCCACTGTAGACCAGATGTAGTAATGTAATCTTACATACTTTAGACAAGTGATCGTTATCTGAGGGAACAAAGGCTTTTAAACTTCTTGCGTTAAGGTAGAGCGTTTAATGGGTTCGATTTTAAATCAGATATCCGATTTGAAGTTATGGTCGGTCCAGGATTGATGGCAACATCACCAGCAAGTAAAATACATAGGAAGAGCTGTGAGTAATTATTCTTGATATGAAACTGCAGTCCATAACGATGGTAATTCTTCAATGGAAAATTATATTTTTGAATAATACGGTCGCGCGTAGATGTCCAAAGCAAACACAGTCTATCAGATATTGATGCAAGTTCGGAGCTGATAGAAATGTTTGAAAAAGTAGTTTTTTCGTCGTAATATACACTTCCAAGCTTCGATTTTTCAGATAACAAGATGATTGCGGTTAAAATTAAAATCCACACAATACCAAAATACAACGAACAGCCAGGAGTTTTACAGTAATTGTTGAACACCATGTTCAAATTGATCGTAATCCAATTTACGCGCAAAAAACAACAATTTCACGATAAATTGCGCGATTCAGGTCAGCAGGAATTCGTTAGCTGGTTAAATAGCGTCAGCACACAGTCACGCACGCGCTGGCGATTGTCAACGGAAAGTCTTTTAATGACAATTGAAAAGACCAAATCCACGTAAATTTGTTACTTTTTCGACTAATATAATTACAAAAACTGTTTGCAAACCTCAGATTACCACACACAATGTTCTTATCCACAATTTTCAATTTCAATTTGATTTCAATCTTGAGTTATAAAGGTACAAAACAAAGAGTTTTGCAGAGCGCCCAGTGTGTGTGCGCACGCTAAGCGCGATCACGTATCCGTATCGTATATTATTGGAACCAGAATCGAAAACACTATTTATAGTGTTATTTTCAAGCTTGTGTCTTGAGATTGTCATCTTTTATTTCGGTATTTACAGAATATTTATATTTTTAGCGCGGCCCATGGAACGCACATCAAAACAATGCGCTGTTTAGGAAAAACTGGAAATCGATTCTGTAGGTCGGCATGATTTGCACGTGCATTGATCGAGCTATAAACGTGCGTGCGAGTAAAAACCCGATATTCTGAAAAATTCAAAATAAATATTCCTACTCTGTGCCGTATTCAAACGAAACTTTGTATATGAAAGCGCTTGAATACAAGATGTATTTTACTCACATTGACTCTGAGCAAATTCTGAAGAGTCACTAAAGAATACTAAAGCAGGGTGCATTGCCTGTTAATGGGTTAATAAGAGACATTGGCAGATGTGTTTGTTAACCCATTTACTGACAGTACTCTGCCACTAACAAGTAAAATCGTCTGGCGTTACAGTGTAAATTGGTGTGGCGTTAGCCAGAGTTAATACGAAAGTAGTGTGCATTGGCAGCTAATAGACCTTAATATCCACTTTTGACCCAATGGCTTCATTTTCATGTTGGCTATTTACTCGTATTCCGTGCACACAATTTAAGAATGAGTTTGTGAACGGGCTTAAATGATGAACAAGAAGGAAACTGGGGATATAACCGAGAATTGTGTAGAAGTATAAATTTTTGCATTCAGTTCATACGCCAAAAAGGCAGCACTTTCCTTGCGATAGTAACTCCTAGTTATAGACTTGCACCATTAACGTCTCCCGAAAAGGTCTTTTATTTTTTAAAAAAAGTCCATAAAATTTGCTTGCGGTTTAAGATTTGTATTCCTGCCTTTTGCACCATAGCACGTATCTCGTTATTTTCAGGCCAGTGTGAACGCCTGAGCAGGCGTCTTGTTATTAAGCAGCTGTTAATAGCGTGCACATGAAATGAACATTAATCCATACAAGATTTGTTATTTTATTATATATTCAACCACCTCAAACTCAAATTATAGCAAATAGTTTAGAATAATTATTTTAATGTGTGTTCACTTTGATGCACAGTTAAAATAATCCGTAAAATTACTTTATTTTGATACACTATTGTTTATTGATCTTATTATATTCCACAAGTACTAGTACCCAAAAATACAGCATTGAGATATGTTACCCCAGTGCGACACCAGAAATTATTATTGTCTCCCCACACGTCGCGTTTAAAGAAAATGGAAGCTTGTTGCTCGTTTAACGCCGGATTAACCACGTGTCAGATGCGGCAAATGCCACGGGCCTCGCGCTTATGGGGGCCTCGCGCTTTACTGTGCCACGCCCACTTTTAGGAGAACACGACCATTTTCTATTGGGACACACCCATTTTAGGTGCCTCGCGAATTTAGGGACCTCGTGCATTTAGGGCGCCTAGGCTTGGCAGTTGGTCCCAGCACGGCCCCGGGAAAATATGCAATACTCGTGTGCATATAATCTCCAGTTGCGTTGAACTGTTATATTATGATCCTGTTTATACATGTTGCCCCAACAACTGGGCCAGGCAGGCCATTGTCTCGTTTATAATTGATGCCAATAAATTGAAATATTGAAAAAAATTATTTAACAATTTTGTTTGTCTTTAAATTCAAAGGTTTTCATAACAAGGGGGGGACCTCGCGCTAAAATCTGCCACGAGCCTCGCGCGACGTTAATCCAGCCCCGGTCACTTGTCTGTAGTTCTTGTGGTTTTAATGCCAATTGCCAAAGATCGAAAGAGAGCACCGATGACTTCCCCCGTCGGAGAATTACTGGTGCAGCCCAGGCCAGCTCAGTGAAATATGGGGGCCCAGGGCCAATTATACCAATTATACCCCGGTGAACCACAATTATTCCCCCATCCGTCGACAAACTTTTTATCCCTTGCAAATTTGTATTTGCCGGCCCTCCTTGAGCTGGGGTCGCGGAGAAAATTGCTCCCTTTGCCACCCCCCCCTGCATGGGTGGCCCTGGCGCCACCCCTGTCTTATCATAACTATCTACTTCAAATAATTTTTAAAGCCCTGTTCTTTTTCAAGTAGTTTTTTGTCCCGAAAAAGTAAAAGACTTAGAAATGGTGATTAAATTATTTACTACAGTATGTTATTTAATAACGAGCAAGGGTTATGGTAGGGATTAGGGTTAAGTTATAAAGTTGGTGTTTGGAATAGGGTTAGTGTAAAGCTTTGTTACGTTTTGTCATTCTGAGGCCAGCGAAATAACAGACCTCTTACGCAACATGCATGCATATGCATCTACTATCGTCAAGAAACAATCAATACGTATAATCGTTGTGGTCTGTGGGATTTTAATGAGATCAATAGTTTAAACCTTGAAGTTTTAACACACATTAGCCGAATTCATATTAGAGACGGGAAACTCGTATTAGACGGGAACTCGTCTGATATGAATCCGGGCACAGACGAGTTTCGCATCCGAACATTCCCGTCTATATAACTTACCGGTCTAAACAGAGGGGAAAGTTCCATATAAGGAGTTTTTATTTTTAGTTTACCAGCCCTTATATTTGAATAGCCGAATTCATATTAGGGACGCGAAACTCGTCTTAGACGGGAAACTATAAACGTTCATTTCATGTACACGCACGCTAACAGCTTCTTAATAATTAACTTACGTCTTCGTAAACATTTATAGTGGATACATAAAATGGTACATTAATTAATATGGACAAAATGGAACAAAACCTCTGAAAACAGCAGTTGTAGTTCTAATTATTTTGGTAAATTTAACAACAAATATAATCCCTAAACAGCTCATCGGTTTGTATGTTAGCGCTATTAAAAGTAGACAATATTGAACAGTGATCTGAAGTTATCATGCAACTGACAACAATATTATATCTCAAAATACCTGTATATGTTGAAATTTCACAACTATATTGGGATTTTTGGACCAATTTTAAACTTAGCAAAGCAAAAAGTGTCCATTCATTCAGGAATATATCTTCTTCTCAAAAGGTAAAATACTTAGAATACTTGATTAATAAATTGTTTACTTCGACGATATGTAAATTAACAGCGTTTGACTTGCAAGACGTCAAAAACGGACGATTTCAACGCGCTGTCGTTTATCGCGTATTCACTTGCCCAAAGAAGTATTTACGTCAATTGAAAGCTTGTTTATTAAAGAGCCAACTAGTAGAAGCATGATCGATTTGGAGCTTTATCCCATGGTGAAAATCGGTTTTGTTAAGAGGGTATCGTAAATGAAGTAAGATAGTGTGCTCCAAAACTACGATTATTTCTATTCCTAAAAGTAACTCAAATTTCCTGTAAGTCGCGTACCCGGTCCTTTGAATAACCGAAAACAAGATTTTTAGGGTTTTCGATCGATTAGAAGCGGTTGTCGTCGTGAAATTTGTCGGTAAAATCAGCGCATATTTTCCCAGACAAAATGGTGATTTAGGGTGGTCGTGTTAAAACGTCATTTTCTCAAAGTTAAAAAAGCATTTGACCTAAAAAAATATATGGTGCATTTTCCGATATATTAAGGTATATCTGGGCAAAATTTGAGCAAAATCAATTTTTCCGTCGTGGCCGCCTTATGTTTGATTTTTGTGGACATCCTCTCTTAAGTCATTCCACCACATAAAAATAATTGACTCCGTTTGCCATGGTTATGTTATGACCAAAGATGCCAAGAACGATCCTGACAAGTCCGCCGATGAATTTGTAGTGTCAGGTTGTTGTGTGGTCGAGTACAACAATCAGTTATTTCCTGGAGAAATTCAAACAGTGGTTGGAGAGAAATATGAGGTGTCAGCCATTATCAAAGCTGGAAGATATTGGAAATGGCCTGCACAAGAAGACAAAATTTTCCATTTGAGAGATCAAATTGTGAAAGGATTGAATCCACCCATTTTGGTGAATGCCCGGTTTAAGTTAATATATAATTATAAATAAGTTGCCTGTTCTATATAACAATATTAAAAAGTTACTTTGGCTTTTGCCAGAATTTTATAGTTGATTGTTAAACATGACCATTTTGTAACATCCATCACAGCACATTTTGGTCTTGGCCCCCCTGGAAAGGAGATTGACAGTAAAAACCCTCCAAGATATTTAATTCACTTTGTGGTTGAATGTTGGGTCATAAATATTCTAACTTGTATACAAAGTTGGAAGACAAAATTTATTTGAAATTTTATGGTAAAAGTGTTTGTCCATTTGGTGTAACATCCGTCACACACATACACGTGCCGGCTGAAGCCAACTTCCGCCGATTTTAGTAAATTGAACTTTTTCATGAGATAGATGGTTTATTACTTGTTATTGTAGAAATAATTGTGTGCCAACATATAGCTGAAGAGATATATACGGAGCCCCGGAGGGGCCATCAATAAAAAACACAAACTTTTTTGAGAGAAAAAAACACAAACTTTTTTTGGAAAAAAACCCAACTTTTTTTGAAAAAAAAAACAAACTTTTTTTTGAAAAAAAAAACAAATTTTTTTTTGAGAGAAAAAAACAAACTTTTTTTGAGAGAAAAAACACAAACTTTTTTTGAGATTGCGGGCTCATTCCCGCATTCGCAACTCGCAAGCTTTACTATAAAGATGGCGAATTCACGAGAAGAGTCCGAGAAAGTATTTCTAAATCATTTTATAATCAATTCAAAGGTGTATTTTATATTTACATGAATTTACATAAATCCATATTGATAAGCGCTTGTTTTCTCTGGCAGATATGCAATTTTCTGCAGGAAACATTTCAAGTTTCCCAAGAATGTTTGAATAATGTTCGCGAACACAAAGTAAGTAACGTAAATTTATAATATATATAATATAGTTTCACTTGGCGAATATGTTATTATAACACAGCCGTTTCATGCAAAAATCGTCGTTAAAAAAATTATTAACGTTTATTTTAAGAAATGGTCACTCCTGAAACGAATTCCGAATTAAAAAACGATGAGGGATGAGGAATATTGCTTCGAATTATCGTGTCAAATTTCATCCCGATCGAACTCGAAATGAAGGAGTCTTAGCCTTAAGGGTTTTTCGAAGAGCATCGTCCCTTAACAACAACAACATATATCTATATATCTATATATATATGTATATAGATATATATATATATATAGATATATATATAGATATATATATAGATATATATATATAGATATATATATATAGATATTATATAGATATTATATAGATATTATATAGATTATATATATATATAGATATATAGATATATAGATATATAGATAGATAGATAGATAGATAGATAGATAGATATAGATAGATAGATAGATAGATAGATAGATAGATTGTTGGGTGGCATTTGGCACAATTTGGTGGCATTTGGCACAACGGTTGTGCCAAATGCCATGGCATTTGGGTCATAAATATTCTAACTTGTATACAAAGATGGAAGACAAAATTTATTTGAAATTTTATGGTAAAAGTGTTTGTCCATTTGGTGTAACATCCGTCACACACATACACATGCCGGCTGAAGCCAACTTCCGCCGATTTTAGTAAATTGAACTTTTTCATGAGATAGATGGTTTATTACTTGTTATTGTAGAAATAATTGTGTGCCAACATATAGCTGAAGAGATATATACGGAGCCCCGGAGGGGCCATCAATAAAAAACACAAACTTTTTTGAGAGAAAAAAACACAAACTTTTTTTGGAAAAAAACCCAACTTTTTTTGAAAAAAAAAACAAACTTTTTTTTGAAAAAAAAAACAATTTTTTTTTGAGAGAAAAAAACAAACTTTTTTTGAGAGAAAAAAACACAAACTTTTTTTGAGATTGCGGGCTCATTCCCGCATTCGCAACTCGCAAGCTTTACTATAAAGATGGCGAATTCACGAGAAGAGTCCGAGAAAGTATTTCTAAATCATTTTATAATCAATTCAAAGGTGTATTTTATATTTACATGAATTTACATTGGCACATTTGTGGCATTTGGTGCAATATTTACGGCATTTGGCACAATTATGTTTGGCATTTAGCACAATATGGGTATTTGTCCAAATTTTGGTGTAATGGCATTTGGCACAATCGGTTGGTTGGCGATTTAGCACCGTGGCATTTGGCACAATCGGTTGTGTTTGCACATTTTCATGGAAGATCTATTTAAGTGTTTTATTTGCCGGATTTTTAACATTAAAATATTTGGGAAAATTGTATGCGTCACCAAAATTTTGTGATCAGGTATAATGACATTCAAGTTCCCTTATTTAAAACTTTAGGAAAGAAGATCTCTATAACATTAATTCAAATAACGTAGTAGGAAAAACCCACAGCCAGCCGACAATTTGGGAAAATATAAAAATAAACAAATTCCAAAAAATGAAGTCATCTTGCAATTCATGATATGAATACAAACAAGGCAAACAATTGAAACTGTAAATTTTTGACTTTATTTCAAAGTCATTATCAGACAGAATGAAACATAACACTTTACTTACAGCATATATACAGAGCAAGAGAGCAAAGTAGGATATTACCTCCTTTTCCAATATATGTTAATTGTTAATTCTTTAATTTATGTAAGAATTATTGCGTCATGCTTAGCATGTCATGATTAGCGTTGACGATGATTATAAACTATAACGACACACCTTGCAATCACGTCAATAGCTTAGTTTTCTATTAGAACATGTTTTGCTTGAAATGTTTCAGCTACTGAGCAAAATAGTGAAAGTTCATGGCCGCCGAAATTTTTTCACACTGGCTTTATAGAGCGCCTATAAACAAGTTGTGGTGATAATTTCAATTTTTATAACTGACGATAAAATAGGACTAGCTCTTAAATATGTAAACAGAAACTCCAAATGACTTATAGCTAAGTGATATTTCGAAATGATATAATATTTTAAAGCTGCTGAAAGCGAAGTATAGTAAAAATTTTGTTAGCGGCAATCCTGGTCTGTAATTCAGCTACCTGAAAAATGCAAGAAAATCTTTGACGTTTTGAGCGAAGGCTTGTTTATAGGGCTTTATAATCAAATATTTGCTTGTACTTTTAAGTTAGTTGCGTTACAGACCAAGACAGCTGCTGATTATTGTTATCACTATCTACAGTTGCCTTTTTAGGTAAAAATATTATTGCCAAGCAAGTAATTTTATTTGGAAAAAACTGTGAAAATTGTCACGATTTGGCTTGTGATGTGTCGAAATATTACTGAATATTTCTCTTAAAAATCATTTTAATGATTTATTATGTCTTTCTTCGAAAAGTGCTTGCTGGGCAATAATATCGAAACCTATACAAAACTCTTGAAATGGAAAATACGATATCTGTTAAATAATACTACTTTAAACGTCTATTCTACTTTTTATCCTTACTCTTTTTGTCTGCCTTTCTGCACTTTTTTACTTTAGCACTTAATTGTATTTTGCTATATTTTTGTTTCATCTTTAATTTTTGACATTCTTTGTCCTTTTCGACGCAGTCCCAAATGACATCTACATCAATTTTGCGGTTTTCCTTTTGAAGGGATTTTGTGGCATTCAGGAGGGCATTCACTTCTTTTGGCCAGAAAAAGATTTTCTTTGGTTTTGGACTTTTTTTCGGGCTAATTTGCTTTTGCAATCCTAAAATATAATAAAAATATAAATATATTTTTTAACTGTTGGATGTCTTCACCATTGGGAACTGACGTTTTTACTTAGTAGGTGAACGAGAATCTCCTATATCTGATATAAGGTGTGAAAATCTGAAAACGAATGTAATTTTCTCAAAATTTATAAAATGAATGATAGATAAAAGAATAATAAGAGGCGGGAGAGTGTTGCCTGGATATTTGAAGAAAGTTAACGTTTAAAAATATTTAGGAAACAGTTGTTCATGAAAGTCAGTCTGTCAGAAATGTAAATATAGGCCAGACTTCTAACGAACCACCTAAACCGCTATTGAATATCAGTACATTTTATATATTATCATATGCAAGTTATTATATATTTGACCGAAATGTTTCAATAAAAATATTCATTTTTTAACGTTTACTGTTGTGAGGAAAATATATATATATATATATATATAATTCATAAACCTTGTTGCAAATCATGTCAGCCATAATGTCACATGGAGTGACTTTATATCTGATAAAGCATGAGGCATTATATAATTATTCATCCTAATTAGTATTCTTTTGTAGTCGTATTTTAAACTATTCAAAACACTCGTTGTCGTGTTTCATCAGACATAAAACGCTCGGCCGCGCCTCGTGTTTTATATCTGACAAAACACTCATACTCTCGTGCTTTAAATAGTATATATATATACATATATACATATATACATATATACATATATATATATATATATATATATACATATACATATACATATACATATACATATACATATACATATACATATATATTATATATATATTTATATATTTATATATTTATATATTTATATATATATATATATATATATTTGATTGAACACAAACTTGAGTAAACATTTTGATTGTCGAGAACTGGCCAAAAACAACATATTAAATAGCAACCACTTTTGTTTTGACGTGCTACAAATTCGTTTTTCAGAGACAAATATTTATTCATCAGGGAATGCAGATCTTTCGGCACATTTTGTGAAAGCGTTTGTCGAAATCAATTGGATGTTTTCCGCTACTCTTGCCGTTCTCGGTCGACCACTCTGTTCTTAGTCGAGATTGGAAAGTCGTTTTTCTTTCTTGGAACATTAGAATTTGATTCTCCAGGGATACTGAATATTTAGAGTAAGACTTTTAATCAAAACAACCTTATAAAATAATTCTCACGAATTTGCCAATAACTGTTTGATAACTTCAACTTCATCTCACTTCATTAAAACGAATACTTGAAACTGTTATCAATTAAATTAGATTAATTAAGACACTTCTAAAAATGGTTACTCAACTTTAAACCTGGGTATTTCTGTCAAAATTGCATAAAATGCACATGGTATATATTAGAATTTAAGTTAGACATTACTGAATGCAATACATCTTGTTTAAGGATAGTTTTTAAGTTATACATTTATACAAGAGAAACTTGATTGATGTTTGAAATATTACTCACGTTTTCTGAAACCACGCCCAAGAGGTTTTTCTGGAGATACTTTTCTTCTCTCAACATACTTCCATGATCCTTGTGTTTTTCTTCTCTTTGGGGACCCTGCAATCGCAAAAGCAAATGTCACTATATACTACCAAGGAACTAAATATTTTTTATCATTTCAAGAATTACGAATTGCAAATTCGGGAAGAAGCTAGCAGTGCAGCTTAGCATAATTTTATTGTTCCAAAATTCAGCACGATGAAGTGATTTGGTTCTAAAACAATAAAGTCTTACCTTTTTGGGGGGTTGTTGGAGCAATGTGACGAAGAAAATTGGATGCTTTGGCGCGACCTGAAAATGAGAAAATGTGTTGATAAGTACAGTAAATATTTGAGAATTAAGTGCAAGCAGCGAGAGCGGTAAGAACGTCAGTTGAATTACCACAATAGTTTGAATCTCGGCTATTTTACTATGCGAAAAGTCAAATGGTCCCATAATTTTTACTGCATGTTCCATTGAAATGATGGGACTATTTAACTATAAGGCTTGACAGCGAATTATTTCGAAGTGGAGAGCTGCAGCAAGACAACATCTTATACCTTTAACAGTATCCCTCATGGCGTAGTGTCCTTCTGCTGTTGAAGTAGAATGTGACATCTGTCGAGCAAGCTCGTCTTTTGATAATCCACTCGAACCGCCAGAATCAGCAAGCTGCCGATGACGAGACACTGCTGATTTCCTGATTCGCTTCCCAGTAACATTTCCCTGAATAGATGGATCCAGTAATTTTGCAACTTTCGTGATTGTGTTGGAAATTTGGGACGAAGGGATAGGATTTCCATTTGTTGTCAAAAAGAAAAGTGGCTCCTTCTCCTTCTTGTTCTTTCGCTGTAAAAAGGAATGGTGATTGGCTACGGTTGGTTGGAGCTTCTCTAAGTAAATCCGAGCGCATTTGTAGGTACGGTTATCCCAGGATAGGCTTGCTGGTCCTGTACCTAAAACGGATTGTCAAAAATAGATTTTGTATTATAAAGTTGAAAGAGAACTGGGCTATCACATTAACACCCTGCACATGTTCAATTATGCATACATGTACCACGTATAAAATAGTACTTTAAAACATGATTTTCTGTATGCAGAATACCAAAAAACAATCATTCATATTTCACGAAATTCACCGTACCTGTAATGTAGATTATTAGTTTAAGCGATATTTTTGTCGCGATTATTTTGTGTTGTTATTGCCCGTATAATTTTCGCGCGTTTTAGAATAAATAATTACATATTCATAACATGGCGCCCAACGTGGGGCCGTATTTTCGTCGTTTAAACATCGTTTTCGTTTGAATTTGATTGTCGTTTGAATTTTGAAGTATTCGTTACCATGAGTGAGACAGATATTGATCGTTTAAAGGCAAAAAGAAGGGGGCATCGTGGAGTTACAACAAAATTTATACATGAAGCGAAGTCGATTGTTGAAAACCCCGAGATAACCACGTTGAATCGTTCACGTTTGAAGATTTTAGACAACTTACTTGAGGAGAAAGAGAAATTATTACGAGGTATGGACGATGAAATGTTGTCGTTGTGTAAGGTTGAAGAAATTGAGAAAGAAATAGAGGATGCTGACGCAATACGAACGAGAATTTTAGAAATAAGAGGTATGATTGAGTGTTTGAACACATTTACGTCACAGCCCTTGTTGTCAGGCAATATAAATGCACCCCCTACACAAAATACGGACATGGCTGAACAGCAAGAAAGTATTTCCGAGCAGAATGTGCCTTTACCTACTGAAGAACACCCCACAAGTATTTCTGTAGAGCCAGTAGAGGGGGCACCATCATACCCATCCAGTTTTACTGTGACCCCAAAGCTACCAAAGTTGGTTCTACAAAAATTTAATGGCGAAATTACAAAATTTAGAACATTTTGGGATCGTTTTGACAGTTCAGTTAATAAGAACCCAAACATTTCACCAATCGATAAGTTTAATTATTTGCAAGGACTTTTGGAAGGTCCAGCTGCTAGAGTTATTCAAGGATTGCCTTTAACTGAGGCAAATTATAATGTTGCATTGAATCTTCTTGAAGAACGTTTCGGGAATACACAGCATATAATATCAATGCATATGGATGAACTTTTGCAACTGCCTACATGTTTAGGATACAAACCTGCTGAGCTTCGTCTGATATGTGATAAGGTTGGGGTCAATATTCGTGGTCTGGAGTCTTTGGGAGTGACATTTGATAAATACTGGAGCTTTCTCATACCCATCATTATGTCTAAATTACCACCAGATGTTCGTCTTCAGATCGCTCGAGTTACAACGAAAGATGTTTGGCAAATCGAAGAAGTATTGAATGTATTGAAAAGTGAAGTGCAAGCAAGAGAGATGAGTAGTAATCTGAAGATAAGGGATCCAAGTACTCAGCCAAGACAGAGAATGCACACAACGGGTGCATTTTTCGCAGGAGATCAAAATGGGAGCAATATACGTTGTGTGTTTTGTGATGCAGAACACTTTTCCGCCTTGTGTGAGAAGATTAAAGATCCACAAGCCCGAAAGAATATTTTGAAGAGACAAGGACGTTGCTTTTTATGTTTGAGAAAGGGTCATCGAATAAACCAATGCACCTCCAATAGACGATGCCGCAAATGCCCAGGAAAGCATCATCAGTCAATCTGTGAATTTAATTCGAGTCGACCACCACAGGACCCATCGTGTCAACCACCAGAAAACAAACCTGGGCAAGCTTCCACGACTGGAGCTGTTGTCAATGAATCGTCAAATGGTACAACCACTACATCTGTGACAAGAAGTCAAACGAGAGTATTGTTACAGACAGCAAGGACATATGCATATTCCAATGAAGGTTCAGAAGTCTTACCTGTCAGAGTGCTCATTGATACTGGAAGTCAAAGATCGTACGTCACAACTGGTCTACAGCAAAAGCTTGGTTTGAAACCCATCAAGAAAGAATCATTAAATCTTAATACCTTTGGTGATGCCGGTTTCTCGAAGAAAGACTGTGATTTGGTCCAATTAACGCTACAAGGAAAAAATGGCCAAGATATAAAGATCGCAGCCCTGAGTTTTGGTAACATATGTTCCCCACTACCTGGAACAGTAAACCTAGAAAGCTATCCTTCGTTTTTAGAGCTGGATCTTGCCGACTATAACACAGCTTCAAATAGTAATGATGACATTGATGTTTTAATAGGATCGGACTACTATTGGGATGTTATAACCGGACATGTCATTCGAGAGAGTAATGGACTGGCAGCAGTCAGCAGCAAGTTTGGTTGGTTGGTTTCGGGCCCAGTACAAAATACCAAGAATGGGGATAAGCATGTAACATCCAACCTGATACTCCAACAACCAAGCTATTCCATATTAAATTATGAGCAACCATCCAATTTAACTGATAGTTTGGCACGTTTTTGGGACAGTGAGTCCATTGGCATAGTTGATTACACTGAATCTGACCACCAAAGAAAGGAATTCTTGAAGGACATTGCATTTGACAAGACCGAAGGAAAATATCAAGTTGATCTTCCCTGGAAGGAGGAACAGACTTTGCAAAATTCTAATTTTGGACTATGTGTATCTCGATTGCATCATCTGAACTCCCGTTTAAGTAAGGAAGGTCTATTAGACCAGTATGACGATATTTTCAAGGAACAGGAGAGGACAGGTATCATTGAAAGAGTCCCAGCTGACGAAGAGAATAACAAAGATGTTCACTTCTTGCCTCATCACGGAGTTGTGAGATCAGACAAAGCCACAACGAAGTTACGCATCGTATTTGATGGATCAGCGAAGGACACTGATAGTGAACATTCTATCAACAACTGTCTCGAGACAGGGCCCAATTTAACTCCGCATCTTTTCGATGTTCTGATTAGATTTCGAAGCCATCCAGTAGCCCTCACTGCTGACGTGGAAAAGGCATTCCATCAAATATCCGTGAGTACGTCAGACCGAGATAAGCTAAGATTTCTTTGGTGGGAAAATATCGAAGATGAGACCCCAAAAATGGTCCAGTATCGTTTCCGTCGATTAGTTTTTGGCTTGACTTCTAGCCCTGCGATCCTCAATGGAACAATTCAACATCATTTATCATTGTATGCCTCCTCCGAGCCTGAGGTCTCGAAGCTCCTAGCTAGTTCGTTGTACGTGGATGATTTCCCAGGAGGAGCTACACATGAAGAAGCAGCTTTTGGCGTTTACGAGAAAGCTAAACGTATTATGAGCGAAGGCGGATTCAACCTGCGCAAATGGCGCACTAATTCGAAAGTTTTGAAGGAACGAATTGATAAGTTTGAGAATA